CGTCACCCTTATTCATATATATGGATGAATGAGCATCGGATTCGCGTAAAGTATCAATGTTAACGCATGAGAGAGGAGTGGAGAATTGACCCTCTTCCTGTGCGCGCGCACACACGCATCTAGATTAACCCCCCTTGCCACGAGATCACATTGCGGCGCAAAGACGATTCTATTTATGCGCGCAACCGACTCGGACCTGGGGTTAATACGATGATATCACTCACGGGATATACTTACCTACTACGTAAGTCGATTAGCGCAGGAAAGCCGGAGACGAGTTTTGCGGTCGAAACCGAGCACCGTGGACCGAAGTGCATCTCCCGACGTAAAGAGGGTTGGAGGACGAAACGTGAGGGACAAAACGGGTGAAACTAGTTTCCTAGCTCTTTGACGAGATCTAGATATTTAAGCTTTTAATCCGCTGTGGAAAAAGTCTATTTCTGATACTATCTGCAACTTGTACGCATGCGTATCGCGATTTAATCTGAGAATGGGATTCTTAGCGTTTATGTATATTATATGCGGTTTACAACTGGACCAAGTTTAACCCTTTGCGGCCTAGTGAGAGAAAAAAAGGCAAACACTTATTGTGCGTACGAATACCTGTTATACGTATAAATAACTGTCGTAAAAAGTTCAAAAACTGTAACGAAAAATTCAAAGAGCAACAACTCTCAGCGGTTTCACAGTGAAACTACCAAAGGGACGCAAAGGGTTGACAAAAAACAGAAACTGAAAAATCAAATAGATCGGAGACGACGTCGATCATTTGGTATGGACGAGATGGATGGACAATATACATGGCAATGGGAAAAATTCGCCTCCTGCATTAACGTTTTGTTATTACAATTACGATTATTAATTGAATTATGCAGATTTATATTACGTTTAATGAAACGGTATATATGATAAATAATTTCCAGGCTATTTTTCATCTTTAATGTATAAACGGAGGCGAAAGAAATAACTTCAAGTCCGAGGGCATAGTTTTGGATCCGCTCGCTCTGTCCACAAAAAACCAGGATCCTAAATAGCTCGCACGATCGGCAATAAAACATATCTCGGCTACGTCGTAATTATATCGACGAGCCCTAAATATTTTCTCTCTCTCTCTCTCTCTCTCTCTCTCTCTTTCTGTCTCCGCACCTTCCTTTTGATCTGTCGGAATGCGGCATACGAGTCTGAAAGGTAGTGCACGCTTCGCGCGATCACTCTTTCTTCCCGCTTGCCCTTAGCCCCTTTTCCTCCCCTCCTCCTCCCCTTCCTCTCCGCGCTGCCCGACTTGTGAATACATCTACGAGTTAACGAATTTCGAAGCGCACAAACTGGCACCCTTCTAATCCTGTGACTAACGTCCATGTCGAGAACAGAGCCGGTGCGAGCACGCGAGGATGCGGAGCGACTAGAGGCTTAAGTCTTAGAGATCCGCAGGATCTCGACTCCAACCCTGTTTCAGGGATCCCTTGTGGGAAGGGCGCGGGATGCGCTGGACGACGTCTTTATCGTCTCGCATCCACCTCGTTTCGCGCGTTAAGGTAACGACCCTAACATTTCATCGTACGTCGCCACGTTGCCTCCACGCGCAATTACTTTGCGAAAAATTCTTGAAACGCTTCGACCGATGTTATTAATATTAGTGATACTGTTCAACATCGACATAAATCAGCCTCTGCTTATTTTGTACTCAACTTTCCAAGTCACGAGTCTCCGTAATGAGACTTTTAACATTTCAATCGACTCATTATCGTTACTTTACCAGGCGTAATACAACCATCACCTGAAATATTCTCGTTTCGCAGCAATGAATAGAACTCACTCGCATACTTTCTCTTAACTGCAGATCACTCGACGAAAGACGAATCAAAGAACCTTTTCGACTCTTAACCGCTTCATTTCCACAAAATTTCGTTCTCTCGATCTCTTCGACATACAGCATCCTCTATATACGCGCACGTAAATGCATGCAAGAAAGTTGAGAAAGTAGGTATAAACCGAAAGAAAATGCTGCTCCAAAATAGCGTGCCATTTCCTCCGAAGCGTAAGTGGCAACCACTTGAAAGACACGAGCTGAACGAAGAAGCTTAATGACGCACTATTATTAGTCACACATTGACAAAGCGTCGCAAAGCAAGGAACGAGCCGAGGGCGTCGAGGACGTCTCGTCGAAGCGGCGAGACGAGAGGCCGTGCCGCGTTAGCGCGTTGCTCTCTTTATTTTTCATCCTTTCTCTCTGCTTTACATACGCTACATGGTTACGGTGGGGCCATCGTCCTCCGGCCGCTGCTGCAACATTGCAACGATTATTGTGCCCTTGCTACCTTCACACGGTAGCAACGCGGTAGCAACAAGCGACTTCTTTTGTGTGAGGATGCTGCGCGGATGTCTCGCGGCGACACAATGGCTCGTTTCAGCAGCGACCGGATTTCGGAGTCCGGAGTCACTGAATGGACCATTGGGCCGAAGGGCAGACACAGTTGCCAAAGCCAATGAGGTACATCACGGTAATAACGTGCATGGGCGTTAACGTATTAGGAGCGATTTCCGTTACATTGTTGACCGTTCTTGGACGTCGCTTCCGAATGGAGCAAGCCGATCCCTCCAACTCGCGTCATTGCCCCTGCGCGGCTAAAAAAAATGGCAAATCGCGTATGTAGATCCGAACTCTCGCCGGAGCCGCGTTCCACGGCGATTATCCAGCTCTTCCTCGATCCCCCGTGATCTGCTATGCGACTCGTGTCTCACGGCCGAAAATACGGGCGAGTCACGAGGCCGACTTCCTCGTAGGAACGTCCAGCGCCAATTAAACGAACCGATACATATACTTGGCACGCAGACGCCGCGTAATGGTGCGATTGCATTGCGCAACCTTGATTTCGCTCGTGCGTAAAACTATTGTCCGCGGACGATCAGTTCTGCCGCCCGGGCAAACGGGTCAGCTTCAGCCCCGGCGCGCGGATTCGCAAAGCGGTTGGTTTCGCGGCAGTCGACTAAAATTCAAGGTCCCGATTCTACTTCCGCGGTCAAGTTTGGTCGGCGGGCGCGTCCTGGGCTCTCGTTTATCCGAATTTCTTCAAGGTTACGGCCCCATGCGAGGACGCGTGCTAGCCGATTTGGGGGAAACCCGTTCGCACGGTCGCTTCGCACGATAAATGTTACGTCTATGGTTAACGCGGGGCCGCACTCGTTGTAGTAATTCACAGACTAGTCTTGAGTAGCACTCGTGTTGCGATAAGCGATTACGCAAGGTAGTATACGTGGCATTCATTGCCGGGGCCGCAACAAGGAATCATTACGTGCAGCCGGGCGTTACGGATATATGGAGCGGTATTTTACCGGCGCTTTAGCGGCAACGGAGCGGTCGTACTTTTTCTATCGACTTCTTTATGATTTCAATAATGAAAACCGGTAAGAGAAGTTAAGTGAGACATTACTTGAGTTTTAGAAGAAGTGGAAATGTCGCGTTCAGAAGCTGTCAAAGAAGACATCGGTGTTTTTGGGAAAGATATTGTCTTGAGAAAAATAACAACCTAAATAAGCAGCTCGGAAATTAAGTTTAATTTTGGCAAAACTATCTCGTTTTTAATATACAGGGTGTCCCAGGATGAAAGGTCAATATTCTGGGAGGTGATAGTATCGGTTATTTTAAGCAAAAATGTTCATATGAATCTCAGTCTCATTCCCCACTGTTTTCGAGATAGGACTATTTGAATGTACAGAAAAAAGTAAATACACGAGACATTTAAGTAGCTCTATCTCGGAAACAGTGGGGAATGGGACATATATTTGTATGAACATTTTCGCTTAAAATGACCGATACTATCACCTCCCAGAATATTGACCTTACCTCCTGGGACACCCTGTATAAACCCTGTTTATTGAGCCTGTCTGTTTTACCGATTAGTGTATCGCAAGCATACCACTGCCGTGGTGAAAAAGATACGCACGGGAGGATTACGCAAACGAAATTGGATGATAATACGGCGTAGAGATAAAGAAACAGGAGAAGAGAGATGGACGGCAAGAGGAGAACGAGAAGGAGGAGAAAAAGAGGAGGAGGAGGTGGGGGCATAAAGAAAAGGCGCGCGAGATCGCGGTAGCAATCGGCGGACCTATCATTAAAAATCAGTTAACCTCGCAATTACCGTGCGAGTCCCAGCCTATTAAGTGCGCGTAATCGGAAGAGGCTTTTTTGGAATAATCGCTCGTGGACGAGCGCATGGAGAAACGAGCTCGCGCGGGCACCCGCCGATTATGCGACCGCTCGGCGGGAAGGAAGCGCTTTGTTTCGTAGGGAAGGCACGAAGGTAATAGCCGGGGACGACTGCTTCGAGCAGCACATTTGCAAACTGCTGGCGCGCGAATTTGCGTAAGTCTGTGATAAACTCACTCGAGTCGTGACCGCGAGGAAAATCTAATCGGCAGAATTCCTTCTTTCTGCCAAAATTTCGAAATTGATCTCGTTTGCGACTCTTTCCTTTCTGTCGATTGAAATCACGACGTTTTGACAATTTGTCAATTCAGCCTCGGAGGGGCTCGAACGGAACGGTTAGGCGCGGAAGCTTTCATTTAGCGGCCTAAGTAATCACTTACGAGTCTATAACCCTTTCTTTACGTACGTTATTGCTTCGTTAAAGCGTCATTTTCTCCTCTCCTGATTTCCACCAGACGCTCGGCAAAAAGCTATTTGGCGGAGTTACGCCCAACCCCGTGGCCGTCCATGCACTTAACTCCACGCCATATAAGACTACCGGAAGAGCCGTTTGCTCTCGATACGTTCGACCACTGTATCGAGAATGCGAACGGAGCAGAAAACAGAGCGAGGGCCGATCGGTGATGAGTGGTTACACGTTACAGACGAGCATGTCGGGCACTTAAGTGGCGCCGAATAGGGACGCGTAAGTACAACCTGGCCATGGGATTGACGGCGTATGTATGTGCGTATACGCGAGAACTTCCAGCGATTTCAAGGTACGAAAAGACGCATTTAAAGTTCTACTTACCCGTAGCCTCGATCGGAAAATCCGACACCTTAATCGATCTACTGACCCTACAGTCATCTTCATAGCGAACCTGAAACATTAACCATAACGCATTAAGCGTCAGACATAATCGCACTCGTGCGCTTGTGTTGTTCGAGTAGCTTCGAAAAATATTGAGATTTTATTTAATTTTATTTAATATTAGGTGTACAAATGAATAATCCAAACTTTTTTAAGCGACCGCCACCAAGACCAATTAATCCGTTTGAGTCAAGAATTAGAACGAAAACGCCCGTATACTGGCAAAGGAGAACGTCCTGTGAAATTGTTGCATGATAACGCTAGGCTACACATTGCTTCTACGACAAAAGACATTAACCAAGACATCATAACGAGTCTTGGCTGGGACGTCTTGCAGCACCCGGCGTATTCACCAGACATCGCTCCTACCGATTACCACTTGCTCCGGTCGATGCAACATGCCTTGTCCGATACGCACTTCAAATCAGTGCATGAGATCCGAAAATGGCTCGACGACTTTATCATATCCAAAGATACAACATTTTTCCGAGATGGAATTCATCAATTACCGGACAGATGGCTTAAAGTTATAGAAATCAACGGCGAATACTTCGATTGGCAAATTTTACTTTCCTTTAAAATAAATCTTAAATATAGCTGAAAAATTTGGATTATTCATTTGTACACCTAATAGAATATAATTGTTTGATTTAATATAATATGCAATGCCGCGTCACGGTATTTAACTTAGGTGTAAACGTGTATTTAATAAAAATGCTTTTAGCAACGCTTACACTTGCAGCGATATCAATGCGGTGCAAATATATGTATTTTCGCCATGGAAATATCAGTCTTGCATGAAATCTCGATAAGAGCGATCATATCATGTCATCCGCTTTTGTTGATCGCCCGCGATGGGGAGACAGGCCGAGCGAGTTGTATGGACACCAACAAAGTCGGAGTCAGCTTGCGAGCCTCGGCTGTATATGATTAATGCGACCCACTGTGGCGAACGCAATATAGAACGACGTGCCTCATTTGCATTTGCGTTTCGAGGACCACCGTGTTTGACGTCGAAAACCTCTTAACGAGGAATTATTAAGGAACAATTAAACTCTCGACGAAACTCGCAGTGTACACTGCCAGTGCATCTCGCAAAAAAAAAAGAAAAAGAAACGAAAAACGTCCTCCGAGGAAATATTCAAGCGTCGCTCTTAATCGGTCTCGTGTTTTATCTGATGTTTCCTAATGAGGTGTGTTTACTTTTCTTACGACAGTTTGACAATCAGCCAACGTGTACATCCACGTCCAATTTATCTAATTTTGTCAATCGATCCAAGTACTTCCCGTAACGTATAAGCGATAGCGATAGCGATAGCGATATATTTTCTTTAAAATAATTATATATATTATTTAATTAGTGGCTTCTTCATCGTTTCTATTCTAATAACAAGTGTATTTCGTAGACGAGCTTCCGTTAGTCAATAAAAGGAAGATATGATTCGTCTCTTATGAAGCGTTCTTCGGAATTATTAAAATTATTAAAATCGCCACTGCCGATACGGGCTTTGCCACAGCGTTGCAAGAATATTCCTAAATTATCATTTTATAAGAAACTATTTTATCTAAAATAATTATGTACGTTGTTCTATGTTATTTAGCTAGCGGCTTCATCTCTATTCTAATAACAAGTGTTTTTCGTAGACGCTCTTCCGTTTAAGAGTCAATAAAAAGAAGATATGATTCGTCTCTTATGAAGAGTTCTTCGGAATTATTAAAATTATTAAAATTGCCACTGCCGATACGGGCTTTGCGCCAACGTTGCAAGAGTGTTCCCAAATTATTACTTTATAAGAATAAGAGGTCTCGAAGGAAACTGCTAACGCGCAAGCAGCGACACGTATTCGCAACCGCGTGGGCGTTTATTGGCGACCTGTTTAACACAGGCGACAGTTAGTGGATTCAATGATCGTGTAATTGTCAGCGGGAAACCGGACTACCTCTCCTTCGCTCTGCCCGCAAGCTATTTTGCAAATCTTACGATTACTCCAAGGCAAGACGAAGTATGAGAACCGACGGAATACCACTAAGTTCTTGTGCCAGCAATATCGTTTATTGTCGATTCAAATTTATGCAAAACTGTTTCATAAGGACGGCTTAGCGCGAGAGGCAAAAAGTAAAGACATGTCGCAATATTTCATTCAAGTTCGCATTTTTCTACGATTTTCATAAATTACAAAGAGGACTGTTCATTTAACGCGTTTCCTCCAATAACCCGAGTAAAAAGGCTGAGAAAAATATACTCGACTACGAATCCGACCGTTTGGTGCGACGAACATTAATAAAGAGACTTCATCTCCTCGCGAGATCTCCCTGGCTGGATTACCGACTATTTTCCTGCGATGTATCGACGATTTTCGCGTCACTCAGCAATCTCGTCAAGCCATCATAAAGATGCGGCTTCCCCCAGCTGGAGACCGTTTCTCACACTTTCTTGCGGCTTTCCGCGACGCGATAAGCGGCCGCCAACGGGTCCGCGAGCTGCGGATAAAAATGATCGCTCGCCCGGGGATCTTGCGCGAGAAACGATCCTCCACGGAGATTCGCGCACGCCCACGCGAAGGGACACGCGCTTCCAGGCAGGTGCGTGCCCACGGGTTCGCGGGGGTTAATGCGTCGAGTAATAATTAAAACGCCATTTCGCGCGCACGGCGGAGAAAGGTGAGACGTAAGGCGCGCGATTATAAAGCCCTGCCGCGCCTATCTCGTAACGGTTTGGTAAATGGACCTCTCCGCGGACGGTCATATTATACATACATATTGCGTCGTGCAGCGTCCGGTGAACGGACACGAGGAGGAAGATACGACGACGAGCGCGTAGATCCGACGGAGTCGCGGCGGAGCGCTTCAGAGGTCGTCCGCGACCTCTCGGGAGACCCCGGGGTCCGCGTTTTTCTTTTCCCAGATACTAGAAACCATCGACTTTCGGCCGAGTCGGCACTCGATCTCCCGTCGGTATCGCGCGCACGATCGGGGACGACGTTTGATGAAAAAGGACCGGCGGTTGTGTACGTATTCCGGTAATCTTAATAATGGCATCTCTCGGCGAGATTCCCCCGTAACGTCCGACACGATGCGCCGAGGAGGAGAATTTTTCAGCTCGTATCGGATCGTTTTGCATGCAGATGCGCGCACACGCGCGGCCGGTCGTACGCAAGTACACATTATTAAGAATGATCTCGCGCGGGCGCGCGAGCGCAAGCGCATGTCGCAATTAACACTTACGTAAGAGGTAATTGAGAAACAGCGCGGCCGCTATCTCGTGGGCAAGATGTACCGTATCGAGGACGTTCATAATATAATTCGGTGCCGCGATGATCCGCGCCTGACACTTACATAGCGTTCGCATTTGGCGTCCGCGTTTAATTTCCTGTCGCGCCGCGGTACTTCGTTCAACTCAACAATTGATCCTGTCACGTTAAAATTTCCACAGCTCACTCACGTGCACGTCGCCTCGATAACGTAACCGAGTAAAACGTTTATCTCATTGTGCGATTTATCGATGCGCACCGTTTTCTCGCTGATGAAAAAATTACTTCTCCTCACCTTGTGCTCTTTCTCTAAGCGGACTCGGTGCGTTTGCATGATAAAGCGTTCGTTTACACGTGTAGTAAAGTAATCTGAGATCATTAAATTTAAAAAGATTTAATTGACAGAAAGATGAGAACTGCACGGAGCCTTTGGATCAAGTTTCTTTTCGGTAGATAAAATGAAATGTTAGTGAAAATTAAACGAAACACCCTGAAACAAGTTTTCTTTGAAGTTTCACCTACTAGACTTTTATTTAATTTCAAAGAAACGATTTCTTTACCGTAACCAAAATTCGATTTGATTGCGACCGAAATGTCTAAGAGAATTCACATCTATTTCTTCGCATCTAGCAAATGTTTTGGTAGAAGCGAATAAAAATTTAGTGGATTCGAAGAAACACGATCTCATGTTGTTGAACCTAAACAAATCTTATTTTCCGGGTGTACGTCGGGACTTTACGAATCAAAAATCGGGATTCTAACAAAATCTTACCACCGTTACAAAAGAAGCGGGGCCCCGTAATTATGAAACGCATTAAATTTAGCCACGATAGACGAGCGACAGCCGCGCCTCGGAGTCTTCGGCCTAATCATAGGCGATTAGACGCGGTGAAGCGTTCACGAGGCATGACAAAGAACGAAGTGTCGATTCTTGCCCCTCGCCGGCAATTATTAATCGCACTTAGCGCTAATGACGACCGCGCGGCGTTCGTATATGTATGCTAATGAAGCGTTCCTCTATTTTCCGCAGGGATAATATAACATTGGACGCCGCGCAGTGATTAGCATCGGCTCGACGATGCGGGGCCCCGGCCGATGAGGCGATTCCTCAGGGCGGCCGGGCGGATAAGTGCAGAGGGGAATATTCCTCAATGTCGCACCGAGCCGATGAAGACCTCACTCGGGTCTCACCTGGACCTCACCTCACGGGGGTGGCCGCGGGGGCCTTGACCGCGTGCCGCGCCGCGCCGGCTTAATCCGGCGTTTTAGCACGAGCGAGGAAGCCTCTCGATCCCGGCCACTTAAATGAGCGGTCAAAGTGCGACATCCGGTTATACGTTAACCGGCGTCAAACCGGAGAAATATTACGCCGCGCGCTGCCCTTTCATATTTCCATGCATTCTCATTTATTTTCTTGCTCGTAAGAAATTCATGGCGTCGTTAGCAAAATGAGTTTTCTATTAAATCGCCCCTTTACGAGGGGCGGACGGCAAACGTAAGAAATAACTGTTTATTAATTCGATCTTAATATGATTTATCAAGTATTTTAAGGTGGCTCCTGCACGAAGGAGCGGTTAGTATGGGTCTTTGGTGGGACTACTTTGATTTTTATGAATTTTTTCATGAAAAAATATCACTTAATGCATTATTGATCAAATGCATTGATATATGCTAGGTTATATATGCACATTTAAAAACATATTTAAAAATATGTAATATTGCCAAGGCTCAAAGAGCTTTCAAGCTTCCTCGAAACATT